CGACGTCAACGTCGACGTCGACGACTAGTTCCATAAATTGATAAACAATCTGTTGTCAAGATTAACACTTGGTAGTGGTAGATTTTAGTTAGAGTAGTGTGTAGGGTATTGGGTGGTGGTGAGTATTAGTTATGTTATTTGTTATTGCATACAAGAATTGTTAAGCGCTTGTATAAATATTTAACAGCCCGATTGAGTTAGCGATAAATTTGTGGTAACAAGCGACAGCCAGCTACATGAACGTCTAATTACGCTGTCGATCGATTTGCTGATAAAAGGTCATCAAGTGAGAAAGTGTTTTTTTCTATGCCCTACGAATTGATTAGTCATAATTATAGCAGAGTCGAAGTTTGATGATGCAAAGAGAATTAACAGCAAGCAGAGCTTTTCAAGTATTTCACATAAAGTACAAAGATTTTGGTTGAACAATTGGGAAACAGCGTATCTCTCAGTCAAGCACATTCCACTCGTGCATTCTGAATTGACTCATATGCCTAAAGTTTTAGCTAGGCAACAAAACAGATCTGTTCATAAAAGTCAAGAGTGCGCGCTTTAAATAGCTCGCATATAATTTGTTTGCCTTATCTGTGTTAACATTCACTTTCGATAAGCTTAACATAAGCATATCGATATAAGATCCAGAACAAAATAGAGCCTCGATTCTTATCGACAGTGTACATAAATGCTCGATGACAGCACGTGTTTGGCTAGGATAAGTAAATAGAAATAAATTGCAAAAGGGAATCGAACATAAGGTTACACAAAATAAGTGACAAACGCAATCAAAGCATAAATCACTGAAAGGTCACTTTATTGACCTTGAGTTACAGATACACACACACACGCACACAGCTAACTCGGGCGCATAGAGTTCACAGTGCAATCGACGCAGCCGCGGACCACAGTCAGTATTCGCGAACAACGAACAAATCATTTAACATAAACAAATGCCATCAAGCGAATCTCGCATGAAAAGAGATTAAAAACAAATTGTATGCGTTATAAATAAAACAAAACTCAAAATGCAGCCAGAAAGCACTGCAGCAAGACAGAGACACACCACGACAGAGAGGCGAGCACAGAGCACGCGGGCAATGAACGCTTGATATACGCAAAATGAAAAGGCAAAAAGCAAACTGAGCAGCACAAAAAAAAAATAAAAATGGGGGAAAAAAACAGCCAACGAAACGAAAAGCACACGCAATCTGCCAACGCAGCTGGCGACTGCGACGGCGACTGCGACGTCGCTGCAGAATTCGCAGCGAGGCAGCAAAAATGAAATATAAAAACAAATACAAGAAAAGAAAAGTTAAGCATTTGATTGAGTTTACGATAGAAAAGCGTCGACAACGCACAATGAACTTTCAAACGAACTGTTAGATACTTTACAGTTAAGATGCGCATAATTAACTGCGCTCTCTTGCTCGTGCACTCTCTCTCTCTCTCTCTCTCGCTTGTACGTTTGTTGCGCAGTTTGTTGAAATTGGCGTATGAGTAATATAAAGCGGATATTACGTATACGAAACATTGCCTGTGCAACATGCTTGCACTTTGAGCTTTACTCTGTAACCAAAAATATCAGAGTTCAAAGCACACACACACACACACACACACACTCTCTCTCTCTCTCTCTGTCTTACACACACACGTGTTTATACACTGTATTTTGTTACACGACCGTATAAAGTCCTTGGCTTGGCTTGGCCCATTTTAAGTATCCAATTACAGCTGCAACAAACAGCATCAATAACAACGAGAGGTAAACAAGCCCTTAGCTTATGCACATTGTACTGTGACTGAACGTGTGTGTGTGTGTGTGTGTGTGTAAAAGTCAAACTATCAATTACAATTATGTGCACAAACGAGACGTTCGTGCAGTTGAGATACACTCGCACTCGCACTCGCACTCTTGAGATACTCGCACAGATCTTTCGAGTTATTTAGCAGCTTCCGATGACTATCCAAAACAATTAGCTAAAGTAGCTAGGCAAATAGTCAGGTAAAGCCCAAAACTTAAAGCTGTATCTTCAAATGTGCACATACTGAGAGCTGGCAAGAGCTAGAAGAGAGAGAGGAGAGAGAGAGAGAAGGCATGTGCCAATTGGGTACAACAAGATGTGCAATACACAAATACACACACACACACACACGTACACATTTACTGCTACAGATAAACATCTGTATACATAGGCATGGCCACATAGGTGAGCCCGCAACTAAGTCTAAAGCGGGTCGTCCCACGCCTCGACACAAAGCTTGACCCCAGCCCAGCCCCAACCTCAGCACCAGCCCCAGCCCCAGCCCCAATTCCATTCACAGTCGCACTCAATTCCAGCTCAAAAGACAATTTCGTAAATGCACTACAGAAAAAAATTAACTAGATTACAATACGTTGCACAGTGCAAATGTATTGACATTTGCAAACAAACAATAACAAAAGAAAGAAAAAAAGAATGATAACAAAAAGATTATCAAATAGAATTTAAACTAAAAAAATGCTATTCTCAACTAATTTCAAGTTCAATTTAATTTAAATAGCTAAACTTTAGCTTTAAAGTTTAAAGGGAAATAAATTACAAGTTAATATCAAATTTTAAGCTACAAATAAGCTAAATTTGTTCCGATATTGCTTTACAAAACCTTAAGACACTTTCAATTAATTACAGTTGAAAAAAAAATTAGATGAAGAATATATAATATTAAATGAGTGAAATATATATATGTATATATATTTTTTAGAAAATACCTATTATTATCATCCGATTTTAGATTATTGTTCCGTTAAAATAAATAAAATATATTTGTAAAGTTTTTGTTATTATTTAATATAAATAATAAATAATTTAAAAAATGTGTAAGTACATATATTGAGCACAAATAAATCGTTTGTTAGTGTAATGCATTTTCGATGCATTTTAAAAATATATATATATATATATATATATATACATATATATATATCTATATATAAAATGACATTGTTAAGAGCAAAAATCGCAGATAAAGAAGAGAGATAGAGCAAACGAGAACGAGAAATAGCTTTGAGAGGTAGCTGCAAATACGCTTCAATGCATCCATAAGATATTGTATCTATATCGCCGTGAATGCATATTTGTGTATGTGTGTATAAAAGCAGAACTTGCACTGAAATCTGAAATCTGTGACTGTAGCTGATTGACAGTAGGACAGCTTGGCAGGCATTCTGCAAAATGTTCCAACTGCTTCATTCTTCTCAGCTGCAAAAGAGATAAGGAACCAGCAGCGCAGATACATCCGTTCTCAGATGCCATGCTGCATCCGCAACATCAACTGGAAAGGCATTGACAACTTTTCTCTATTAACGCAATACTGGAAATCAGGCAGTATCGCTCATGGCTCGGCTCTTAGCCATTGTATCTATACAAAGAGATTGCATAAATATGGGTGAGAGAGCAGCGTCGCAGTCTGAAGAGGCTTTTGCAATTCAAATGCAATGAGGCGACACACACAGCAACAACAACTACACACAGACACACACACACACACACACACACAGAGAGAGAGAGAGACAAGACTGCAATTGATTGCAGCAAAAGTTAAGTAGATTATGATGGAAAACTTTTAGACAGACAGATCCAAACGAATGAACCAGAGGCTGACTGACATGATACGAGGAGAGTTTGCTGCCGCAGCTGCTGGCCACAGCCGAGGCTAAGAAAAGTTTTCAGCCCAAGTATGTCGTGTACTGAGAGTTTTACCAACTATTGGAAAAAGAAGAAAAACCAAAGAAGTAGAAAAAACTAGTTTTTCTTTCTGCTTATTGTGGCACTTGGCTTTGCTTAGGCTGCTGAAAAGAAAGCCAGCAAAAACCCGTAAATGAATTTTCACTGCTCGAAGGCTGTCAACGTTTTATGATATTTATTTGGTCGAAATCAAGTGTATATGCTTTTAAATAGCAGACCGCAGCTCAAGGCGGTGATTGAGTGAAAAGCAGGGTATATAAAACACATAACATAAACACATAACACATAACATAACTAAATGCGCCTCTGTTTAACGGAAATTATTCGCTGCGAACAGCAGCTTGTTATAATTTTTTGGCTTGATAGTTGTTAAAGTAAATTCACTTGACGGACAATTAACTTTAAGAACAAGCTCAGCTTAAGCTAGCTGGTCTTTTTGAACGGGAATTTAAAAAATGAGCTTTGAATATTGAATACAAATACAAAATAAGTATATATATATGTATATATATATTCAAGATCGGACAACTGTATCATATATAGCTGACATAGGTTCGATCGTTCGAACAGTAGATTCATGTATGAAAATCCTTTAGTTTCTCCTCATGTATATGAACAATTTTAACAACATCTGAATACCAGATGATATAGCTGCCATGTGAACAATCTGCCGGAAAGTAGATTCTTATATGGCAAACAATTCTTTTCCTAACACATCTGCAAACGGCAAATGTCTACTAGGGTATCAAATCTTCGGCGTGCCTAAGATATCCTTACTTTGTCGTTCAATATTATTGTTAACTTTAGACAACCATTCGCTCCTATGTGAATTATAGGAATACAAGTTGCTAAAGGCGTCTCCGGACGGAAATAACCATTTTGGCATAGTTTCTAATAATTTGTGAATTTTTTTTAATTATCTATTAAGCTGTTAAGGCTACAAAAATTGAGCAGCACATTAGCAGCATTGAGGTCGATTTCTCTCGGTTGTGTATTCTATATTCTGACACAGCTTGATGTTCTTTTCGATATTTTGGGCTAAAGAACTCTTCCGTTGTGAACGCAAAAATGCTGTAGCCAAGCATTTTAATCAACTTGTTGATAACTTAATGCAAACTGAGGCAGATTGATGAATCTGTAAGCACAAAAACATGTGCTCGAACGCGCTAGTTAATTTATAAATCGCGCTACCTGGAACTCGATTCGCCCACCCGGGCTATAAAGCTAGTTTTATGGGCAGGCGACGGCGCATTTATACTAAAATGTGTTTAAACTTACACAAAAAGATGTTGTGAGCTTTTGTTAAATGGGCTGGAAACAAAATCAATGCATAGAACACGTACCTGTGAACGAGAAGAAGCAAAATAAATGTACACAATTAGTAAGTCAGTTTTTTTTTTGTTTATTTACTTTTCTAAAATAGGAAGGGGCTTTAAGCCAAGCCCCAAATATATAAATATAAATTATTGCGGAAGTATTTCAGCTGTTTTGCATAAAATGATTGCGCAGCTTCTCGCAAAAATTCACTTGGAATGAATAAATACATATTAAACATAAACAAAAAAAAATGAACTTAATAAAATGAAAAAAAAAAAAGAGTAGATACATATATAAATAAATCAATAGATGTTTAGCGTATTTGAAAGATCAAATAGCTCAAAATGAATCGTGAAAACTACTTGATAAATATTTTGTATAAATAGATCAGGTAAAAATGTTTCGATTTAACCAATTTGTTTGCTTTTTTACAGCAGCTGGAAAATCATTGAATGAAAATTTTCACCTGTTTATTTGTACAGGAAATGGAAAATTACACTGTCTGAAGAGAAACATAAGGAAATGAAAAAGCACGCGGTCAATTTCCAGGCAGGTGATGATATTGAACCGATACTTTTTGTATTTTAGTTTTTTTTTTTTTGTTGCCGTTTAAGATACGATTTTTGACGTCAGTCGTCGTTAAACTATGCTGAAACGGAACTGGTAGCCCCAAAAAATAAGTAAACCGGCACAACAGGTAGTCTAGTAAGTCGGCGCGACGATTAGTTGGGTGAGAAGACCAACATATCGAGTGCTAATCAAAAACAAGACTAACCAACAAATGTGGCAAATGTGGCAACTGTGGCAAATCTGGCCAAATAATAGCCGGACGCATTTGGCTGCAAACACAAACAAAATACTCAATATAATCCGCACCATATAGGTCAAAGCTGAGAGTTGGGCAAAAAAAAACAAGAACAAAATATGGCTTGCCTAAAAAATGGAAAAATCAAATCGAAAGCATAATTTAAAAATCGCATGTCGGACAAAATCTTTTTGACAAATTGTTGCTCCCGCTGCCGCTGCAAAACAAAAAGTTAATGAACTTGCCGGCCAGATGCTGGGGCTGAGCTGCCACTGCCTCTGCTGCTGCTGCTGCTGAGAGGAAATACTGAGTGCGAACGAGCAAACAACAACACGAGCTAATGATAATAACATAATACAAACAATGTACACAAACCGAACCAAACACAACAACAACAACAAGAAGAACGGCAACGAAAACCATTTGGATATGAATGAAAATGCGTACAACGCGGCTAAAATACTTTGGGCAACAACAACTACATAAACACTAAGGCACATTTCGGTTAATAATACAAAACAAAAAATGTGTGCACATAGATATGTAGATATCATTAAAGCCATATAAACAGAGAGGCGACTAGTGTGAGAGCGAGTCGCAGTCAACACATGGAGGCAATGCTGGAATCGCTATTGAGCACAATAACATATGTAATGCGATTAGCAGACTAGACAGTGAGAGAGAGAGAGAGAAAACTGAGAGACAAATACCGAGAGAGAGCGACAGAACGAGATGGGGAGACTCTTAGAAAGAGAGATGTTGAAAGTCTCGAGTGTGAGAACGAGTTGATGTTCATGTGGGCAGATGCGCTAAATGATCTCTCGATGATTCAGATACTTGCATTGCGAATAATTAATAGCCAAACAAATGTTTACTAAATCAAAAAATAAATAAACAGCTTAAAAAAAAACTAAACAACAAAAAGAGTAGTTGATTGTGTTTAACATTTTTTAAATGCGCTGCAATTGAGACGCTCATGAAAGTAGAACAACTTTATAATGTCCATAATTAGCCAAAGTTTTTTGTTTATATTGATTAATGATTAACTTTTATCAATCTTATATTAACCTATTTTCTTGACTTAACTTAGCTTCTTCACTATCTTTATCAACATCATAAGCTTTAAAAATACCAGAGCTCAATTATCAGCGAATTGATGAAGCAGCTAGCCGCTTTAACAAAACTGATACGCCCCATTTTAAGAATTTTGTACATGAGCTAATTATGAGCAGGCTAAAGTGATATAAACACAAATGCTCGAACTGGCAATACCCTATAAACAAAACTAAACTAAGCTAACAGGCTTTTAGACTTGATAGACCCACAATATCTATAGTCATAAGCCTGCTTTAATATTTTAGTTAGGGTATCTTTAATGCCTATCATTGACATTTATATTTGGTGTATCAAAACACTTTATTGAAAAGAGATGCGTCCACAATTTCGTTATACCCCCTTTGATAGCGCCTACGCTTTATAAATATTTTATATTATCTGTGTTTTGTTTTGGTATTTGACTCGGCGCTGAAACAACTTATTTTGTATACAATCAAATTGTAGTTAACATACAAACAAGATCGGCGTGTCTGTAAATTATCATAAGCAAAAAATAAAAATAAAAATAAAAAACGAATAAAATGTTAACAGGTTGGCCGCACCAAAAGCTGCTGACTGAAAGCATTTTTGAGAAGCAACAAAGAATTGTGGCCAGAATTGAATACGTTGACATTTGCATTTAATTCGCATCGAGTTTTGTTTTTTATTTAATGTGAGTCGCAACGGGATTTCAATTATTGACAAGCGACAGAAAACAAAATTGTTTTGTGAAGACAAATTGGCTTTTCCTTGAAAGAAAAATCTTTGTCAGAGTTTATGTTTTTTTTGTTTTGCGCCAAATATGGCAAAGCTGCAGCAGGCGACTGACAAAAATGGAAAAACTGTTTAAACGGCTGCGACAGCTAAGGAAAAATCAATGACTCTTGTTTTGGCCCGATGTTGCCTTTGCGGCTAGTTGCGATTGTAATTAGCAAAACAACAACAACAACAACAACAACAGAGACAGCCCGAAGATTCCTAGAAATAGTCATGCAATGCAACTGGTTAAGCACTAGATACATATGGCTGCTGTCGAATGTATCTGATAGATGCGAATGTCGAATGTATCTGCTGGATGCTGGGCTTGAACGTGGACTAATAGTGTATATATAGGTCCAAGAATTAATGGAAATTTCGTGGAATGCAGCTGCATTCATCAAAATGCATTTATGGCTGATTGCACGTGTTTTGGTATCTACAGATGCGTTCTCGATAAGCGCCAATGATTGCTGTTTAAAATTAGCTTCGATTCAGTTTGCAGTCGAGAATTTCCGACACGTGATTTGTTATCATTTGCCAGCTGCAAATATGCGTTCCTAATGAACAGTCATTATCCATGTGTGTCTGTGTGTGTGCGTGTGCATGTGCGTGTCTATGTCTATGTCCGCATATTAATGCACATTTGTTGTAGGATAGGAAGTCTTGAGGCAGAATAGCAACAATAAAAAATACTTAATTTAAATCAAATAAAACGGCTCATAAACACAATACTAAGTTTAAGATTATAGTTTTAATTAGAGATTTTTATTGCTTTTGAAAGTTAAAAGTATTAAATGTACATAACCTGTACAACATACATACATATATACATTGAAACATACCAACGTACATACAGATTCGATTATGCATAAAATCAAATAAACTTAGTAGATGCCCAACATCACGTATTATTGGTACAAGGCGCATAGAAACCTAGAAGGCTTACTCGAATTCATGAGAATCGCAAAGAAGGGCACTGTTCAAAAATTCGTTTTGGCTTTGAAGCGAAAAGTAAATTTGGTATAAAAGAACATACAGACAACAATTTAAATAGTACAATGTCATACAATTTATGTAAATCATATTTATACCATAACTCATAACATTAAATCTTTATATTTAGATGATTATCATCTGGCAAAGAACTGTTGTCGAAATAATCACAGGCCTATATGTAATAACATTTTAGCTGCTCACAGAGATGTGACACTATTTCTGCCTATGCTCAGTTGTAAGCCCCATTGGTCCGCAAGTAACTTCCTGTGCGCGCCCTTATGCTCCCAGACAGTTATGACTGACAAATCTGACAGCTATGGTGCCCCACTCCTCGCAAGCACAAGCTGCACGACAATGTATATATGTTAAGCTTATGGCACGCATCATATGCTCCACCACAAGGAGAGATAGAGGGGGCGGTGCTCCGATAAAGCAGCCAGCGAACGGGGTGGTAGTTATTATCAAAGCCCTTCAAGGTCTATGTCTCGCTCACACTCAGCGACTGGCATCTGGTTCGGAGATTTTTTTATTTTTACAGTGAAAGAGAGAGGGAGACAGAGAGAGAGAGAGCTCACACATATATTTTATGTAAATTACGAGCACAGGAAACGTTCTGCAAGTTCAAATCCTGCCCGAAAACGCCGTCGTGCAAATGGCATAAATAAATGGTTTCGTTTACGACTCTGGACATTAACCTGTTAAATTTCTAATGTGTGCGAGTCAAGAGAGTGTCCTGTGTCCATCCGCTCAGCCCCAACACCAGCCAACCCCTCATCCCCCTCTACCGCAACCACTTACCGAGCAAAGCCCGTCTGTCAGCCAGAGCCGCAGTTATTCCAGCAAACCCGACATTTAGCCCCCGCACCGCGCCGCACCTTACTAACTCTTCTGGCTTTCCTGCTACCCCTGGCCAACCCCTAGCTCCAACCCCACCTCCTCTACCCCGTTAAGATTGTTGCTTTTCCGGCCGCAAATAGCCAACGAGCAGCAACGTTTTGCATATTTAAGCAGCTAGCAGCAAGCGACCTGACAGCCCCGGATAATCTGCCATACTAATGTGACTAGCCATGGCGAGCGGCGTGCGGGGACTTTGACTTAAACTTTAAATGCGATTGCGACTGCACTGCGAGAAATTAATGTGCTCAATTCAAGTAAATCAGATTAGAGTTCGAGAAAAATTAAAATATAATAAAAAACATGCTTTTCTTACGTTTTTTAAGCCCATAAAATCTACAAAATTTATATACACTACACATTATATACAATACAAAATATAATTATAATTAAGTAAGCAATTCATATAAAACGCATATCTCTAATAATCAAATCTTAACTTTTACTTAGGTTTCTTTTCAAAGCGCAAAGTTTTTCGCTCAGTGTAAGTAGCAGGGGCTGGTATTACATGGGCAGGCAGGCTGGCCACAAAATCAATAATGATTACATTTGCGTTGCATATTTCACCAGACTGGGGGAAAGATTTGCTGCTGCCCGCCGTCTAAATGACATTTGCGGGCCTACGACGACGACGACGCGTCCGGAAAAAGGGAAGGCGCAACATGAATTCTTGGCCGGTCAGGTGGTCCGTTGGCTGCGGTTGGTGCTGTTGTTGGTTTCTGACTCTGGTTGGAGAGTGTGAAAAATGCAGCTAGCAAAACACACAAAAGACGGAAGGCGGTTAAGTGCTCGGAGGCAGCAGCAACAATAAGGCCTACGCCCACTTCTAACCAGGGCGAAGAGCCAGAGAGAGGGCGGTAGAGCGAGAGAGAGAGAGAGAGAGTGAGGGCACCCCACTTTAGCTCTGAGCTGTGCTCCATGGCAAAAAAAAAAAAAAAACGGGTTGAGTACTTTGCGCTGTGGGGCTTCGAAGCAAAAGAAATGCAGAAAGCAAGAGGAAACTGCAATAAGTGGCGCGCAGGGTCAACAATGCAAGGGGGTATAGGTGGGGTGCTGATAACTGAGAGGGGGTACAGGCAGACAAAGAGGAACGCCACTCAATGCGATTCAGCGACGTCAACGGCCTACAGACGACGGCAATGAGTAGAAAAAATAAAACGAAGAATAAGAAGCAGCAAAAATAGAAAGAGGAACACCGAGTGGGGAAGGCGGGGAGGGCTCATGGTGAAGTGGAGGGCGAGACTAAGACGAGACTAAGCCCAAGCCCCAACCAGTTAGAAATTGCAGCAGAAAAATGCAACAAAGTACAGCTACCAATCTGATAGCGCGAACACACACACACACACACACACACACGAAGTCTACCTCCCGCTACCCCTCCCCCAACGGGCGTACGTTTTATGCTCGTTTGGCAGGTTGAAATTCAACGCAGCAGAACGAACGAAGCGACAGAGTAAAGTAAATGAGAAAACGAGTTGAAATGACACGACTAGGCAATACTCTGGAATAGTTAACAATACAGATAAGCTACTGTATTAAACTGAATAAATGCCCTGTTACATATGGAAATAGTTAAGATAAGAATTTAACCCTTAACCAGTGACTCTAAAACTGAGACAAATATTAAATGTTTACATATACATATATGTTTTTTTCGACCATATACTCTGGAATTTTCGATTGAGGTCGATGGAAAGGCAATTGACAGAATAAGATATTTGTGTTTTATCGAGCAACATACACGAGTCTCCATTCATGCAAACAGTCCAACATTGCACAAAACCAATATACACTTTAGTCTTTGGGAACAGGGTATAAATAGCAAAGAAAATACACACACATACACAACAATACAAATAAAATACCAGACAAAAAAGAAAAGCAGGCGTCAAAGCGACGTGTGCATCAAAAAAAAAAAAAAAAAAGAAAGAAAAAAGCACAAAATAGGCACAGTGCGAACGAAGAATGTGCAGAGAGCAAAAGCAGCAGCAGCAGCAGCAGCAGCAGCAGCAAAGCGCAAAGTAGAAAATGCAACATAAAGCAAACGCCAAAGCAATTGCAGCTGAATGCAATGCTAAGAAGAGGAGCGCAGCGAACGACAGCGACAATCCGGGAGGTAACCGGGCGAGACAAGCAGCCGTATATCATGTACACAAAACAAACAGTAGATAAAAGCTGCAAGCACTTGTCTTTGTGTGTGAGTTGTTATTGCAAATACAATCTATGCTCATCTTCTATCAATTTGATAACTTTGTATCTTGAAACTTGGCAGAAATTGATAGATGATTAATGCTGCAATCAGTTCATATAATGGAGGCCCATCAATCAAACCAGGCTGCTAATATAGCTATCGTTGAAATTAATTACAAAAAAAAACCCGATATCTTGACCAGACTCAACAATTTTAAGTCCAATTTTGCCTATATTTTAATTAAAAGTATTTTCTTTACATTTTTATTGCTTTTTTTTTTTAAACTTTCTCAAGTAGAACCGTTTTGCTTTGGTTTTATATATGTATGTATATAGTTTTGAATACTTCATAACTTGTTTCTTGTAGTTAGACAATTATTTCTGGTACTTAACTTTGCGTGTTTGTGTAGAAGAGTTCTTGAAATGAATCAAATAAGAAACTCAAATAATTCTGCTTGTCCAGTCAGAATCAATATGTATGTTTGTCTAACTGTCAGTTCTTACCCAAAAGTTGAGAGCGTGCCAAGTGTAAATGATTTAAGTGACTAGGTAACAACAACAACAGCAGCAGCAGCAGCAGCAGAAATCTAAACAACAAAGCAATGCCTGAGCTTGAGCTTTGTGCAAAGCCCCGAACCAAGTCAACAGAATATGAAAGGTAGAACGAGAGGGCGAGAGAGAAGAGCAAGCGAGTGAGAAACGCAAGGCACGGGCGTAAAAATATAAATTCAAATCTGTCTCTTTTCAAGTGCAGCGAAGCGGCGACGGCGACGGCGACGGCAACGGCGACGTCGCCTTAAAAGTAATCACAATTGAATTTTATAGACGGCGGGGCCAGACGCAACTGCACATAATATGTATGACAAACACAATACACAATATAAAAGTTTCTGCAGTTTTGTTGGCTGGCATTTTGATAAGAATGAATCTCTGACAACGCCTTGCTAAAGTTTGCCAAGCGGAAGTGATTAAGGCAAAAGGGTTGCCAAAAATTGATTCTTAAAAAAAAAAAAGTAAATCAACACAATAAGTCGTGCGCATTGCTGCCCACGCCAATTAGAAAAATATACATAAATACCAACTGGCAAAGGGCAGTGTTGTACAATGCCAAAACAGGCAAGTCGCACAATTGCACACACACACATACTATTAAAAATTTGAGAGCAGAGAGCGGCTTGCGCAAGAGAGCAAAAAGCAAAATCCAAAGGCGCGCGTAAACGGCGACTGTTCCAAGAATGCAAGGCACAAAAGGAGGCAAATAACAACAAAAAGAAGAAAACAAAGAGCGCTAAGGCAAAGTAAAACGTGAGAAGCAAATAAGAAAATAATGCGACGCCGCCGCCACCGCTGCCGTTGCCATACAAAAATCAATTTCAAGCGGCGGGGGAACAGACGGGGTATGTTAAATGCGAATGTGGTGTGTGTGTGTGTGTGTGTGTGTGTGTGGATGCTGTCTTTGCTTTTGCACTTCGTAAAGGGGAGCAAAACGAGTTGCTACGAATAACGCATGCCCTATAACGCATGGAATTTATATCATATTATTTATATTATTCTTTTGAAATTTAAAATACATATGGAAAACATTTTTAATTAATGATTTAAAGACTTGTTATAGCAAGTGCCTAATAGATCGAAAAATATATGAATCATGGAAAACATTTTTGTGTTGGCTTATAATCTATCAATTTTATAATTTGTTTGTATGCGTTTCCAACGACATGAATATTTGAAAATGGTCTCATTCAAAAAGGGCATAAAAACTGTATACACCACGCACGCACACACGCACACACATGCATATGTATATATACACAGGCACGCAACACGCGACGGCTTTGCCGGCTGTCCACAAGCGGAGAGCGAATACGAGAACAGAGAACAGAGAGAAAGAACGCTTAATTATGCTTAATTTGTTGTTAATCAAACTGACAAACAATAAACCTAACAAAACGTTGTAAGGTTCTTTGCACAACAATCACAAAAAGAGAGCAATAGCGGGAGAGCGGGGTGACGAGAGCGAATCGAAAAACTCACGCGGTAGACAACAAAAGCTAGTTAAAAATTTGTTGGGCAGTCAAATTGTGTAAAATAAATTGCGCTCACGTTTTTTTTTCTCAATTTCAGTTGTTGTTGTATAAGTATGTTTTGTTGTTTTCTTTTGTGATTTGTGTTTTTGCCGCTATTTTTTTTTTTTTGCTTTCCAATTACTGTTTGTACACTGCTCTCTTATTTTTCGGCTTCACGTTTCAGACTTGTATTGCAATTTGCAATTTTAGACGCGACGCGCTTCTTTTTTTTTTATTTTTTGTTTTTTTGCTTGTTTTTACATATATTTAATTTTGTTGTATTGCTTGTTGCTTGTATTTTGTCACTGTGTAATTCACGCCGCGAGAGAACAATTGCTATGCATAATACAATTTAATCGGGTTTTACTTATTTACTGAATTTCCTATAATTTTTCACTGACCAACAAATCGAGACGTTGCGACGCGTTGCGAGCTGAACGAACCGTACACCACCATTAAATTTTTATAAATGACTCAGTTTCGCGCTCAGTTTTTCTTATAAGAACAAACAAGCCAAACGGGCAGGCGAATCGTGCTCTCCGTCTCTCTCACTCTCTTGGAGAGCGAACGCCACCCGCAGTGCTGTTAAATAAACTGGCTACTCAAACTGTTAACTGTTAACTCACCGCCAAATTGAGTGTGCCGAGTGTACAGTGCGCACGAACGGGCTGTCAACATTGCACTGCATACTCTTGGGGATGCACTCGAATGTTAGCTCTAAACTTAACAGCTGACTGTTCACCAACAGTGCGTTGCAGACTACGCACTGAGTGTGTTTTTCATACGAAAGCGGAAGTACGGTTGTCTCGCTTGCACTTGTTGCGCACCGCTTTCAAACTGTTTGAGTACAATTTACCATGAGTGAGTGGGCACATCGAGTGAGCGATTGCTCACTGTTCGCCTGCCTGCCAGGAAAAAGTGCTGCCAAGTTGTGCGCATATCAAATGCGCGAATTTGAATAGAATATATATGTAATTTTATTTATTTATTTATTTTTTTTTTTGTAATTTAAATCGAACTAACTTTAATCGGAGATAACAAATTGACCAAATTTAAAACGATTTTAATTACTTTGCAGATTATTTACATACAAATGACCGCCCGCTGCCGCCGCGTTTCAATATGCAAATTATTGTCAAAGGGCTTAAAGAAATATAATTTTCAATAAGCGCAACAACAACAACAAGTTGTGGGCATTTATTCGCAGCTAAGAGTCATTATTGAATTAAATTTTAATTACGTTATTAATATGCACAACAACACATTTAAATGTTTTAGTTCATTATATACATAAATAATTGCTGCCGCGGCGGCATTTTTAATTATATCTTTATTTGCCTTTTTTTTTCATTGTTTATTTTTGTTGTTGACATTCATTTCTAGCCAACACATCCTTTTCGTTCTGACCTCCAAGCGACGTGTCAACAAATTTATGTAAATTTTCTCAGTATTAGTCAAATTAAATTTGCATCTTAATTAAAGAGCAAACAATTAACTGCAAAAATGTGCAAATACAAAATTTATATAGTTAGATTAGATACGCAGAATTACGTATTCAAAGTTTTTATTGGACCCACAAAAATGAATTGAAAATAATATAATTTAAGAACCATTTATATATGTTCCTGTTCAAATTGTAAACTTTCAATAAAATTATTCAACTGAGCCAACATTTGCAATATAAAAAGCACTTTCACTTAGTTCTTTCTCTGAAACATAGATCAGGCAAATTTTTTTTCAAATGCCAATATTTTCTTTAATTTTTTTTTGTATTGGATATTTTTGCGAAAAACATTTGAATTATGCTTCGTTAAGCACAGCTCTATCCAATAACTAACGCAAGAGGGTTTTTTTTCGATACCCTGTAATATGCCTATCGAGGGTTAGTTTGTATCAGCAAAAGTCTGTGTAACAAAGAGGAAGTGGCTTAAGCTGTCTCTGATAATAACTTAAGAATAATGGATCTACAGAAATTAAATTTGTAGTAAGACAATAAATTAGTATTATCATTATTATTATTATTATTATTATTATTATTATTATTATTATTAGTATTATTAGTATCATTATCATTATCATTTTCATTGTTAATATTATTATTATTATTATTATTATTATTATTATTATTATTATTATTATTATTATTATTAGTATTATTATTATTAGTATTATTAGTATTATTAGTATCATTCTCATTTTCATTATTATTATTATTATTATTATCATTATTATTATTATTGTTGTCTTTATTTATACTATTATCAATTTTATTTTTTTTCAATAATTTTATATTCCCATATTATTATTATTTATTTTTATTGTTATTACCATTATAATATTATCAATATTTGAATTATTGCTCTTGTTATAGTTAAGTCAGGCACTTTTTCTCATTGAAAAATACGAAATGCATTCTGAGAATAGTTGCATATTTTACCTGGATAAAAGGTATTTCCGACTCCACTTAACATACACCTACACACACACACACAAACACACACGAGCATATTCCCAAATGGAATATAATTCCATATGCTCCAGGTAAATCAGATTAAAATATTGCAATTGTGCTAAATGCTGTACACAGCTGTATTTTTTGCCCATGTGCACACCTGTCCCAGCGAGTGTGTGTGTGTGTGTGTGTGAGTGTGTGTGTGAGCGACAGTACGTGCACAAAAGTCAATTAATTGAATAAAAATACTATTTTTTATGGTTGATGTGAAAAATAAAAAAAAAAACAGAAGTATGAGCGAAAATCCACGGAAAATATATTATTGCTCAGTTGCGGGTTAATTGGGCGCTGTTTGTGGGCGTGGCACAAATTTAAATGTCACACGCAAAAATTTATACTCACAAACAAAGACAGAATGAGGGAGTGAGAGAAGTAGGCGTGGGCCTGGAAATTTATAAAAATGCAACGAGATGAAGCGCAGGCAAAAAAAAAAACATTGGGGGGAGGGGCGGTCCAGCGTTTGAACCTGGTCCAGCGATAAGTGTAAAGCGTAATTAAATTTTCATGACGCAAAAAGTGATATAAGAAGAGAGCACCAGATAGAGCGAGAGAGGGAGAGAGAGAGAGAGAGAGAGCGAGGCAAAAATAAGTTGGCAGCGCGCAAAAGAATACGAAGAAAGAGAATGTTACAAGCGAAGTGCATTAAGCTTGCGAGTTTAATTAAATTATTATTAATCTCATTTGAGTGTGTGGTAGCAATTGGATAGAAAGAGGGGCGGTAGGGGAGGGGGACTGTGTGTGTGTGTGTGTGTGGGATGACGATAGTAATACATACATACAGCCCCCCCTTCCCAGATCCTCACTCTATACTATTCGCACCACACACTCAAATGATTTGCTAGGTACAAGAGGGGGGGTTGGGTTGGTGTGTGTGCGTGTGGAATAACGATAGTAACACATACACACACACACACACACACGCGCGCATATCCCACTCACACTAATTCACACTTTTTCCTCATCTGCATTTACAAGGACATGAAATTTTAATCACATATTCTGTGTGGGCAATAGGCTGCACAGACAAACACACACACACGCACACACACACACACATAGACAGACAAAAGTATAGATTATATATGTGACATATACAAGCATATAAGTACGTAACACATACATATACAAATTCGCTGCAAATAACTTTTCGCTTACCTGTGCATGTGTGTGTGTGTGTGTGTGTGTGCGCTGTGTAAAAGTTAAATGCATGTTGCTTCTTTCGAACGATAGGTGGAGTGAGTGTGGAAGAGAGAGAGAGAGAGAGAGAGAGGGAGAGGGAGAGAGTATTTTGGGTCAGAGACCGAGTTCAGGGCAAGGATCAGCGCTTGGGACAGTTTGACAGCGAACATTTTCGAAAATTAGGTCGTGTTGAATTTTGTATAAACTCTAATTGTCACAAAATGCGGCAAAATGTTAACCGACAGACAAATGTGTGCTGTACATGAATATAAATATGTAGACACATACGTGCATTTATTTATTTATGCGCATAATCAATGCAAATTTAATAATCGATGCCGAATTCTCAATTTCTATAAGCTGTAACTTTTACAACATGGCGCAAAGTCTGTCAGAAGAATAGGCCACAAATATGCAACAATTTTGGCTAATCTAAAATAAATTCCAGATAAATTAGCGCGTTATCAAAAGTTATCTGTCAGCTAATTATGGAGTTCTGTTTGCTTCGATATTTGGCAGCGTTTTCTTTACACTTTTATTGGATGATCTAGAATTTTTTGAATTATTATTAATTTGTAAGATGAACAGTTTTACTTGAAGAGAAATAAGAGCGCTCTACGCGCAGTTGGTCGACTGGGATACACCCTGTAGACAGCTTCAAGCTATTCGCACTTTTTTCTAGGCCTTATAAAAGTAAATGTACTCGTATTTTACACTATGCTACAGCAGTTTGTTTCTTGAAATTTAGCATAGGTCCGTCTTTCTATTGCAGGCAGTTCAATTGTCGCAACAGACTGGATCCAACTCCTATCTCATAAAGCGGGCATAGGTTCGATAGTTCGAAGAGTAGATTCTTATAAGAAAAGATTTTGCATAATCTTATCGACATCTTACAGGAGTCATATAACCAATCGGTCATATGGCAATATATTCTGTTAACAAATTTTCTTTGAATTCCGCATTTCCGGGCTTCGCTCTTCCCACATACAACAATTAGCAATACGTTGGTCTATTTTTTTAATGGCAATTAAAGCATCAAGAAAATGCAAATAAATTTCTAGCTACATAAAACTTAAAGACAAAATAATAATATTAATTGCGTAAAGGACACACACTGTGCTCAAGGATTGTTTCTCTAAAATATGAGATATGATTTATTTTGGCAAGACGCAAGTTATCTTTGACATGTGTGTCGAGCAAACATATTATGCTAATTAAAATTAGTTTTATAATGCTAAAATTTGCCTGCGGTGCGATTGTTAAGCCAATTGTGAAAACCACTTGACCCCACGGTCGAGCTGCCTTAGCAACGCACTCAGGCAAACTGGAATGGCCAACAGTACTTGGTAGCCAAAGAATCTACAAGTTCATTAAACTAATAGCCAACAATTTATAACTGGCTGGAAGTGGACCAAGCCCAAGGAAATGGCTGCACAGTCCCCCACAGCCCAGTCGGGGCTGTCTCAGGCTGAAGGACGACACAAAACTAATGGCTGGCCCCATCTGACTTGGGCAAAGGTGAAGAGTTTTCCCAGGCATTTTCACAGCCAACCAGAGAAATACTAATCCGCTTAATGTTTTGCCTATCTTCTAAAATATGACCAGACCAGCCTCCATATTGAAATGCGTCCGTGTGTACGTGCGTGTACTTAAAAAGGAAAACTCATGCTAATATGTTGGCAAAATTTCAAAAAAAAAAAAAAAAAGAGAGAGAGGGAAAAAATAAACTTTTGCTAAGACGCTGCTGCAACTTCAATAAAAGCTATTAAAGTTTTGCTGTGGCAGCGGTTGCAGCTGGAAAACTGAACAAAGCAAAAAGGTTTATATTTGTGGGGCGGGGCAGGGGGCCGTTCAAATGCGCACAATGCCAGAAAAACTTTTGGAGAAGTCACAACTTAAATAGCTTCAGAGCACAAAGCAGATAATGTGATAAGCGGGCCGCATTGGGATCGACATCCGGCAAAGACCGGGAACATCCGAAGCATGTGTCTCGACAACCAGCCACGTGTGTATTGGCTGCGAACGTTAGCTGGGTTGAGCTGGGCTAATTAGGTAAATTGAAAGCCAAAGTTTTGCAACTCAAAGTTGAAGATACACATTCGTATAGGCCAGAAGAAATGCGAAACAAAAATCAGATTGGACAAAGAATTAATGGAAAGCGTAGCTACCCGGCAGTTGGCAAGTACACGTAATGCTACAATAAGAACTAAAGCAAACTAAAAGTTTGTTTTAAATAAAATTAGCTGGAATTCTAACACTTTCACATTCCTTAAAATACGCAGTTTGTTGCGAATTAATTTAACCAAGCACATTCTCATTCTCCCTCTTTCTCTTTGCTGTAATTAAAGGCTTCTCTTTCTCTTGCTGTCTTTCTCTTTTTGTATCTTGTCTCCTGCTCTTTACAATCGCACTTTCACTCTCCCTTACTAAAAGAAAACAATAACTAAGAAAATGTAGGATAGGTAAAATTCATAGAGAGAGAGAGAGAGACTAGAAGGACAAGGCTATATGAACTCCGCAGTTGATGCCAATCTC